TTGTCGTTGAAAAGAGTGGTCCAGTTGTTCATGCCGCTGCTCGCTGCTCGCTGTTCGCTCTCGCTTCGAGTGTGTGTCTTTAAGTACATGGTATAATTCTTGAAGAGGGCAATGAAGCGAGAATTATATCAAGCTCCTAGAAAGTGCAGGCTCATTTACTGGTTCTTCTCTTCTTGTCTGTTAAAGTGTTACGAAAACGAAAACCTGTCGGTAAGATAGATAATGTCGTTGCAATGTCGTTGCAATGTCGTTGCAATGTCGTTGCAATGTCGTTGCAATGTCGTTGCAATGTCGTTGCAAACGATCATTTGAGATTCTCGATTTGTTATGTCACATAGAGGATCTTACTGCCTATATAATACCATAGTCTGGGTAAGCTTCCAACAACCAACTACGACAGCTGAGCAACAGTTGTACATCTTCCGTAGTATAGTGGTCAGTATGTGAGCTTGTCAAGCTTGAACATCAGTTCGATTCGCTCGAGACCCGGGTTCAATTCCCGGCGGGAGAGACCAATCTTTTTCTTTTTTCTGACCTTGCTCGGGTCTAACTGCTGTAAACCTTTGTGGCACTGTTTCAACTTTTTGTTTCATTTTTTTTTCTTTACTTTCTTCTTTATACTTCAATCTCTCCTTCCAGTCGAAGATATTCGTACTCTACAAGATATTCTGGTTGTAGGCGGCCCGACTGGTTAGTTGGTTACAATCTCCCGCCACAAACCCTTCCCTGTCGTTTCCTTTTATATCCTTTGGTTCAATTTTGCTGCCTCTACGGTAACTGAACGTTGAATTACTCCCGTAAATATCTAGCAATGGAATGCTTTTGGAACTGGTGGCTCGGCTTTTAGTATGGTCCGTTCAATCTTTAGGTTTCTTTGCTTAAGTCATGAATGCTTTCAAGCATGAAAAGAGAATATCTGAGGGATCGTTTAAACCTAGGTAGTGTACATCACCGTCGGGTTCTCTCTGTTGATGATTAAAGATCCTTTTTGTTTATTTCAACCGCACTATACATAGGAAGCCAAGAACACAGCTCTATCTACTACAGGTAGGTATCATGCATGTTTAGTATTCAGGCACATGATAAGGTATTATTTTGCTTTTCTGCTAGTTGTTATGTCTACCCGTAATTTGTCTATGACGATTCATCATTTTGAAGGCCTGAGCCACGGAGCATCTTGTTCGTCATTTGAAGACAAGCTCTCGATGACAAAAAAGGACGGAAGCTTCTATGTCTAAGCTGTGTTTCTCAGACACAACTGATATTGCGGACGTCCCGATCGTTTATATATTTCTGGGAGTGTCAAACACACCGTCACGAGTTGCCCTTCTGACTGGCCGGTATCTGACACTCGTAGAGTAAAACTCCAAGCAGTCCTTGTTTTTCTTCCTCGTCTCTTTCTCAAACGAGACCAATCCTCCCTCCTTTGCTAAAACCATTACTTGTTGGGTTTATAGGAGCATCACCCACAAGCATACCTCCACTGGGATAAGTGAGTGAGCTTAGATATGCCTACAGGGACAGGTGCTTCTTATATACCCGTCTGGTCATCGTGGTACTTATCCGCCCAATCGGTTGTAGGTACTCCTACGTAGGCACGGAGGAGGATCAGGTGTAGATCTAGAGGTATGTACATGTAGCCATCCAGCCAGCATTCTGAGTGAGGTGGTAACGTTGCAGATCTTGAGGCCTTTGGCTTTACTGGGTTTCGAAGACAATTTAGTCGATCCCATCTTTCACAGGATTGTTTGAGCCCCGTATGTCGTGCTGTCTGTCTGCTCAGGTCTCACTAGGACTAGGGTTCTTAATCTTGATTCTCCTATAGACAAGCCACCGGCTATGCCAGCCAGGTAGGACACGGGATATAGAGACCTGAAACATACCTAGAACGGAAAGGAGGTACGTATCTTTGATCCGTAAGTGCCTGTTGGCGCAGTGTCAGTGGGTGATTGGAGTAATATATAACACAATCAAAGTTTGTAAGCACTTTCTCCATCCCGCCTGTAGTGTTGTTTTGTACAGGTTTTTCGAATCTTGAACGAATGAAAGTAGTAAATGATGGACCGTAAATTAGGTACATCCCGCCTGGTATACCTCAAAAGCCAAATAACTTTAGACGGCCCACGATTGCTAGGTACCTCTAGGTAAGGAAAACGATTGATGACCACAGAGGTCCTGGTTCGGTTGAACTTCGTTAGGACCTCCACCTATATATCAAGTGACGGGAAGCATGACATAGGTTAAAGTTTATATGAAACATACCTACCTATTTTCCGCGAAGTTGCATGCGTCGCTGGGTCGCGACCGAAGAAGCGACTCCGGGAAAACTCGCAACATAGGCCTGACTGCAGCACACATACTTAATACCGCGGCATATTGGTCTGGGATGTGTGCGTGAGTGTTGTCTCTGTCTCCGTGTTGGTTGTCCGGACTCTGTCTGGACTCTGGTTACCCCATCCCTACGTATGTACGCTAGAGGTACCTTCCCAAGAACCCGGGGTTTCAAGGACCTTTCATTCTCGGCTCTTGCGCAGTATATTGCGCGCCGCATGAAGTCGAGATATATATATGTACGCAAACCTGCATCTTTCGCTTTCTCTATAGCCTATGAGCCCCTTCGGTCTCAATTATGTGCATATTAGATGTTGAAAGAAGCTATGCAGTAGTACTATGGCGTGGCCTGATGTTCCTATGGCTGTCTATAAACGATTTGCTAGCTTAGCGAACCGGTAGAGAACACATATCAAACAGAAAGGGGTGTGATCATTGAGAAAGTCTGGAGCCGAGAGAGTTTATCCGGGTTTTCTGGACAACTAAACCCCTTAACAAAATCATATACCTCCTGTTTATCGGTCAGACAAGCTTTCCCTTTACCCCCGCTTGCTGCCCTACCTCTTTTGTCTCAAGGTACTTTGCCTACCCGGATGGAGCTTACCCCGGATTCGCTACACTCGAACCCTTAGCGGTAGATGTGTGGAAGGAATGCCCATGTAAGAAGAAAGTAACGTGCCATCCGTCTGCGGACATTGCTGGAGTAATGCGAGGCCAGGAAAATAGTGTTTAGTGTGATGTGATGATGGTTGAGCAAGAAGTCATGTGGTCCTTTTTTGGGCGTTGATCCCGTTCGGCTCATCTGGTGGGTCTATGGCTATAAGACGGAGCTGCTGAGTCTACTAGGTAGATTGGCGAATTGCGGATAATGAGAGGTCACTATAAAATGAATTGTCGAGTCGAGAAAGTAAAGTAGATATGGGGCTGTCATTTCCAATACGTAACTTCGAGATAGATCATCAGAAATCATCCAAGATTGTGTACATGATCATTGTAGTCTTGAAAGAATGCGTGGCCTCCTGAGCGTAACTTCCCATTTGCCTTTTCGTTGTCGTACAAGCCCAGGAAACTGTTTGGCGCGATATCATTTACACTAGAGGTATGTTTTGTGATGTGTTGGTTCCTTGACCGCATCACCACTTCTTGGCAGGATCTTGGGAGCTTGGTCCTTGCCTATTGCGTTCAAACACCAAGCGAACCAACAGCGTTAGATTTTTGGTGAGAAAATGGACCAAAGCGGCAGTCTAGAAGGCGCTGCTGCCTGCCTTTTTTTTTTTTTTTTTTTTTTTTTTTTTTTTTTTTTTTTCCACATGAAAAAAAGACTCTCTGGTTACCACTGAGTCCGAATGCTGTGATCGAGTTGGCGAGTGAGACATACTTCGAAATGTTTTCGACAAAAAAAAGAAACGATTTGGAAAAGCATTACAACCTCGGCCATAACCCATCTCTGGACCTCAAGGCGGTCTGTAATGCAAGGACGAGGCCATGGCCCTTTGAAAATTACCGAAGCATCCGCGCAAAAAAAAAACAACTTCCGAGATGAGGATTGCTCATAGACTGCAGGCGAGTGATGATATGGAATGGGGGCCAGGGGCAACATCAGTCAGAACTGCGGGGAATGCTGCTCGGCTTCCTTCTGAAGGCAAGGTGGCTAGAGCTGTCCCATCCACCGGATACGCATAGCCTGGATCTTGATGTAGCTTATCCGCATTTATGGGTCGTAAATGTCTTGTCTGTTCTTTGACCCCCGACACCTCAGGGTCTCAATCCAAGACAAGAGCCCTGCGAGAGGACTAGGCTGTAATCCCGAAAGTCCGGTTCATGAGATGTGATGAATATCGGCGATGTCTTGCCTTTTATAGCGTCGCTGGATTTAGGTCAACCCTCGCTAGTTAACGGTTGGCAAGACCAACGGTTTCCTGGCGCGGGGGACACGAGGATTTTGCGCGGAGCTTGCCTTCCCAGGGCTGGACTCTCGTCAATCGGACGGCAGAGTGGGCCTGTATTTTTAGTGTATCTAGCTAGCGATTGTTAGTCCATGCCATGTAATGAGGATACGAAGAAAAACAAATCCGTGTCAAACCGGTATCTTCAACGCTAGCAGGCGTTTAAGAGTGTGTTGAAAAGATAAAAAAATAAAAAAATAAAGAAAACTTTGGACACTGCCGTGAATGAATGTCCGAGAGAGCCTCGAGTGCTTTCACTGGCCTCCCTCAGGCTAGCGATATGCAATTAGGGTGGTTATGTCGTAGCAATGCGAGCCCTGGAACCTTCGCAGTGAAGGCGGCCATGTACCAAAGCACCAGGTTGTGATGTTACCGGCAACCAGACACGGGACGATCAAGCTCACACTTGTCGTCGTCTGCCAAAGACCAAATAATCTGGGGAGCGGTTGCGTAAGACGTGCCGCGACTGATGGGGTTTATTTCCGTAGTAATTGTCTTTCATCCACCAATCTCGGCGCCGAGTTGCAACCCAGACAACGGATTCCGTGGTTCGCCAAATAAGCTCTCTGGATTCGATGCAACTACACATGTCCCCTGTTAATGCCAACCCCCCACTTTTGCAAAGAAATCTGGCTGCCAGAATTAGTTGCATTAACAGGGAATATGACAGTACAGTGTAGATTAGTCATACACAGTATGTAGATCGGCGTGATGGGGCACCCCTTATTCGCTTGGCTCCGCCGAGTCCTGCACATTAAGGGTAGGATATTCAACTACTCGCATAAACATGGCTCTTTCGGCATAGGGCTGTCTCAGAACGTAGGTGGCTGAGTAAAGTTCTTTTATCTCGCCGTCACCGACCTCGTCTAAGCTTGTGAAGCTCTAGATCCGAGGTGAAGTTCGTCGGGACAAATCCCTATGCCGCGGGGAGAAATTGCGAGATGAATTCGGGATTGCAATACAGAAGCAGGAAGACGACCGGGCTTCGATGTGTATGCCACGGAAGAGCGTGTTCGTCTTACACCACACGTCGTAACGTCTGCAAAGAAGCGACTTGGAATCAGCCATATTGGAGTGGCAATCTGACTCGTCAAATTGCCCCCTGTTATACTCGTTGAGTTTCCGGGGGGTGGATGAGAAACCGGGAATCGGGGTCGTATCTGAAGCGAACCATATCGAGCCGCTTCAAAGTCAACAGCACCCCTGTGCACATCGCCGCCAGTGATTCGTGTTGGTGCTGACAGGCGTTTCGGAGGTGCATATCTACTGCACCGTAATGACAAACCCCGAGGAAGCCCGCGGACCATACCATGATGCTTGGCGAGACGGACGCAGTTGGGTTGAGGGCAGATACTGAGGTGCCGCTGGCTGACGCAGCCGGCGGATCGGCAAACCGGAACCTGTTATGTCACAGCAAGAGTCGGATGACGGCTTTTTGGCCAGTGTAGGTACTGGTAAACTGCAGCTTCATTTCGTGATGAGATGAAGACAGAAGATGGTAGTTGCAGATGGGTGCCCGTGGCTGGATCGTGGGGTGACGACGCCGACTGATGACCACGAGAGCAACAAGGCAATAAAGGCGACAGATATGCTAGAGGAGGCGTCTGTCCATTGTCGTCCAAACTGACCCACTACAGCCACTCGCGCGCATGTCGGCTAGAAGCACCGGACCCGGACTCCCAGAACTAGACTTGATTGCCTCGTTTTCTAGCCTTCTTGTCATGAGAGACCAGGGCCCAGGGTACGTGAAAGCGCAAGCCGCTGTTGTTGTCGAGAAAGAAGGCGCTCTGGTCAAAAGCAACGAGGGCCTCTTCACCGAGTGCTTCGGTCCATGGCGTGGCCACCACGCATTGGCAAGATTGTAGTCGTCGGGGGCGGGAGTTTATCCACAAGTCTGTCGTTGACGTGACGGATGTCGGTAGAATGTGGCTTGAATAATGTGGAAAAGAAGAGGGTGATACCACTGTTGCATACGGGTAGAGGTCTAGATAGGGACCAGCAGTCTGGAAATCCCACGCACCTAGGCTGGACCTATTTGGGTGTGTGTGTGTTCGTTTCTGGGGTGTTTTCCTGCCATTGTCCACCCCCCATGCCCCTTGACTGAAACTTGGGGGTGTATAGCAGTGTTGTAGGGTACGATGGTATGCACGACGAGACCGGCGACGAGAAAGTGGCTGATGAATGGTTGAATGTTGCCCATGGCGGCAGGCTAATAATGATGCCTTCCCGATCATGAAATCAGTATCGGCCATTGACGGAAGGTGGAGTTGAAGAATGCCCGGACGGGTCATGAAATTCCCGGATGCCGAGGAACATCCAATGAATTAGGTACTTGTTGGAGAGGGGTCCAGGTTCCTGTCGGGTCTCCAACTCTGCTCCACAGAGTTGGCGACAAAACCACCGGACACGACAAAACCCAAACGGACAGCAAAAACGACCCACATCCAATAGGCATTTAATCTAGGAATTAATTATACAACTACCACTTGGCCAAAACTTATAAAAATTTGTAAGTGGGTTAATAAGTAATTGATTAACCTTCGTATATTTTTTATTTTTTAAAATAGCTATTTTTGAGAGCCCAATTACATTTCTTATAAAGAGGTAAAAAGTAGTAGTTTTTAAGAAAAATTATATATAATTCCTATATATATGTATTTCTATAGAAATAAGTTTTTATTATACTTATAGAGTATACTAACTTCCAGACTATAGAAAGTACTAGGATTAGTATATTTAGTAATTTTTAACGAATTTTCCAAAACCGAAATATTTATATTATAATATTCTTAAGTAAAAAATATATTAATATAATATTTAAGTATAGTATTATAGGTACGTACTAACGTATAATAATATAATTTATTTAATTAAGAAGAGAGATATATATAAGATATATAATATACTTAAAAAAAAACTAATATCTTTAGAAAAGAATTTTTTACTAAAGTAAAATAATTTAAAATTAATTTAAAATGGATTATTATTTATTATATTATAAAAGTAACTTAATAGATTTATTATTTAGTTAATATAATTAATTCTTATAGGAGTAGGTAGATTAATAATCCTTTAAAGTATTATCTTTTTACTTTATCCCTTATTTTCTAGTTAATAAATTCTATTAGTAGTAATATAATATCAATTTAAACACTTTATTCAAGTTTGTATTTACCTTTATTATTATTTAATAATTTAAAAAATATATTATAAAAAATAATAAGAATTATAATTTACTTTAAATTAAAATAATAATAAAAAGATTAAATATAAAAAATATAGTAAAATTCAAATATATTTAAACTATATTCTATTTAATAGATATATAATTATAATAAGAGTAAAAATAGATTTAATTAGGTTTTATCTACCCTATATTAGAATACTTACTATTATTACTACTATAAAAAAAAGAAGAAATACTACTTTAAAGAAAAGAAAAAACATTACTTTTAATTGGATTTTACCTACCCTGTATTAGAATACTTACTACTATTACTACCTTAAAAGAAAGAAGAAATATTATTTTAAAGAAAGAAGAAATACTATTTTAAAAAAAAGAAGAAATACTAATTTAAAATAAAGAAGAAACACTACCTTTAACTACCTTTTACCTACCCTATACTAGAATATTCACTACTATTACTACTTTAAAGAAAAGAAGAAACACTACTTTTAAAAAGAAATACTACCTTTAATTACTTTTTACCTACCCTACACTAGAATACTCACTACTATTACTACCTCAAAAAAAAGAAAAAATACTACCTTTAAGAAGAAACACTACCTTTGATTACTTTTTACCTACCCTATACTAGAATATTTACTACTATTACTACTTTAAAGTAAAGAAGAAATACTACCTTTAACCGCCTTTTACCTACCCTATATTAGAATATTCACTACTATTACTACCTTAAAGAAAAAAAGAAATACTATTTTAAAGAAAAGAAGAAATATTACCTTTAACCGCCTTTTACCTACCCTATACTAGAATATTTACTACTATTACTATTTTAAAATAAAGAAAAAATACTACCTTTAACCGCCTTTTACCTACCCTACACTAAAATACTTACTACTATTACTACTTTAAAATAAAGAAGAAATATTACCTTTAACCGCCTTTTACCTACCCTATATTAGAATACTTACTATTATTATTACTTTAAAGAAAAGAAGAAATACTACCTTTAAGAAGAAATACTACCTTTAACTGGCTTTTACTTACCCTATACTAAGTATTATAACTAAATTTATTTTAATAACTGTAAATCGATTTTTAAAATTTCCTATACTAAATAATTTCGCGGGAATTAAAAAATTCCAATTTAACCCATCTACCCGCACTTTCCCTAAATTCGAAATCGGAGGGTATATAAAAAGGAAGGTAAGAGCGACTAGCTAGAGTAAGAGCGACCGGCTACGTATAAAATTGTTTAATAGGGTCTATTTAGGGAATTATATACTTATAGCCGGACTTACGACCGGCTATGTATAAAGTCGCTTAGTAGGGTTTATTTAAAGGGTAATACGTTTATAGCTAAGTATAGGGTCGCTTAATAATATTCTTTTGAAAGGTAATACGCTTATGACCAAATATAGGGTCGCTTAATAATATTCTTTTAAAGGGTAATACGTTTATAACTAAGTATAGGGTCGTTTAATAATGTTCTTTTAGAGGGTAATACGCCTATAGTTAAATATAGGGTTGTTTAATAATATTCTTTTAGAGGGTAACACGCTTATAGTTAGGTATAGGGTCGCTTAATAATATTCTTTTAGAGGGTAATACGCCTATAGCTAAGCCTATAATTGTATATAAGGGTTATATAGTAGGTAATATACTTATAAAAATATATAATAAGGCCTAATTCTGCGGGAAGGATATTAGGATTTTTATCTTAATACCTTTCTGCGGTATATTTTTCTTAGATAATTTTAATTGGGTGTGGTAATATATTTAATAATTGTAGAAATTAAAGTGTAAGTTGGCTTATAATTAGGCTCCTAACTAGTACTAGGTGTTGGGAGAACGTTATAAAGTTTCTTTATTATTTAAAAAACTAATTAAAATTAAAAAATTATAATATAATGCTATTACCTTAAGCCCGTCCTCTAAATAGTATTTAAGAAGATCTTTTAGGATAAACTTTATTTATATAATAGTAATATTTAACTAGAATTATCGATAAGTTATATAGGTACTAGTTTAAACGGTAGAATTTACTTACAATTGTAATTTAGGGATATTTAGGGATATAAATATTTAGTAATAAGAAGTAAAAGTCTTAATTTATTAGAAATTAACTTTTACAAAAGTATTTATTAAGGATGTTTTTATTAACGAAGAGTAAAAAAATAAATTTTTTAAATATTTAGGTTATATTTTAAGAATTATAGAAAGGTTAGATAAATTTATTAGCCTATCGATTTAAAGCGTAATTAATAATTATATTAACTATTTAGGGGAATGATACGGATCATTCTATGTATATAGACTAGCTCTGTAGATTCAGTATATGCAGGTCGCTCGAGCCCGCCTTGACTAGCCCGCCTGCCGGGCTATAAGGTAGGTTTAAGCGATAAAATAAGGAGGTAGGCCTGCCTAGATAGATTACATTAATCTATCTACGCCCGGCTCCCACTCTTCCTAATTCTTCTTTCTATATCACACTTTATATAGGAATACTATTACTTTTGTATATTAATTGCAAAGTTATTTTTTAAAGCAGAAACAATCCATATTATATAATAGCTGCAACGACTTTAATCCAATTACCTTTTTAATTCTCTCTATTAATTGAATTGTAGTAGATTGTACAGAAACCCACGATCCAATCGAGTCGTAGTAGGTTAGAAAGTATCGCATTGCAACTAATTCAAGTAAATTGCATCGCTCCCCCACCTCCAATAACCTATTACCGTCTAATCGAATTATAATAGACTACGGCGATACGCGCTTCCCTATTACTATTAATTAGCCGAATTATAGTAAACTAAATAATATTCACCCCGCCTAACGAACTTCGAATTCTCACACAATTCACCACCTAGAACCGAGGCTCTCAAATCGCTAAATTGTAATAAGCGAATAACGAAATACCCTCGATATAAAAGGTTTCCCCCTACTTTCGAACTTAGGTAGAAAGTAAGCTTCTCCCAATCCTTTATATCTACTTAGCTTCAATTTATACCCAATATTATAGGCAAAGGGTAGGTGGTAGATGTAATTATACGTAATTGTACGAAGGAGAAAGGAAGAGAAGTGCAGCCGAGTATTTAGAAGGTTAGCCTTATAAAGGCAACCGCCGGCGGGTCTAATAGACCCGCGGTAGGCAGCGTTCTAACCAATCAACTGCCGGTAATAATCGGCTTACCGGCGGTAATAACAACGTACGGCAATCTTAGAAACTGCTATATACTAGTACTAAATATAAGGTATATAAACTAACCCTATAATACTTCCCTAGACTAAAAGAAGCTATATAACTAATTAATATTATATAAAATAATAGAAATCCCTATTAAACGAACGGTCCGCTTTTAAAAAATCCTTATTACTGCTAATAATTATCGTTATAACCTCCGCCGCAGAATTAGAACCTCCTATTCTACCTCCTTCTCCTTCTCCTTCCGCTTTTTCTCTACCGCCGCCTAGGCTAGTAAGTATAATACTTCCGGGTATCTATCGTAGAAGGCCTATACTATATTGGGGATTATAAATATATTAGTATATAATTATTATAACGGCGTATACGGAGGTATTTAAATTATAAGGTATTCCTAACGGCCTTTATTATTCTTTCAGTATCCATCTATCCTTTTAAACTTATATTCGATAGAGTCCTCCCTATCGTTAATCTTCTTTATAATTTAGTTATAGTTAGTACGAACGTTCTATTCCTCTAAATTTATTTATCCTAGAAGACCCTCTTTATTCTATAATTTAATTTTATTAATATAGAACATTAGGTTATACTTTATATTAATTAGAAGTTTAAGTATTACCCGATAGTTATTTATTTTAAAGATTTTAAAAGGGCCTTCGAAGAAAGGTATAAATTTAATATAGGGGCGGCTAATATCGAAGTTTTTAATATTAAGAAGGACTTTATTTCTTACTTTATATTTTAAAGTATTTAATTATTAAACGTTTATATTACTTTCGTAATACTATTATATTTAACGGGCCTAATTAATAATAAAATTTAAGACTCTTTTAAAATAGTCAGCTAATTTATTAACTTTAAAGTACTTTATTTATTATACTATTAACATTTCCGGCGGGTATAGCTTTACTAGTTTAATATTTATATAGGGGTAAAATTTATAATTAGTAAAGAAGGGGGAGATACCGGTAGTTTTAAATATT